AACATGTTCTGCAGTCCTACTAGTGACCAGCAGAGGGCAGTGGACAGCCAACCTTCACCCAGAATACTGTACTATCCACCTTGCGTCTGCATGCTGTCTTACACAAAGATTAGATTTCAAATCAATTCAATAATAGTTATTCAAAATGTATTAAACTCGTATCCATCCAGCCTTGGTTTTTCAAGAATTCAATTGCAATAAAATTCAACTCTGTCATCATAACCATTTGTACGTTTGACACAGAGAGGCCTAATTTAAAGCCCAGTATCTAGAAGTTTAACAAATTCAAAAATTACAGCGTGTGGTGTACACAACTGTACAAAAATGAGCAGTGAGTTCATTACAAATCCGATAAGGAGGTCTGGAGTTTTAATAAAGATGCAAATTTAAATTCCAGTAGGGGGCAACATAATACAACCAGTCCAGCACCAATTCCTTCAGGCATACTTCTTATTATGTAGAGCTGTATTTTCACAGCAGAAATAGACTTACAATAATAAATAATTCATTATTTCTTAAAAGAATCTATGAAGAGAGAAGTTAAAATTATTTAAACTTTAAATAAACTTTAACTTCCACGTTCTGAGAAGGAAGACTCATGAGCATCTGGAATATTTGAAGCAATTTGCAAACATGGCACACTCACCCGATCTTACTTAGTTTCTTTGCCTGCGCAGGTCCCTTTTCAAAACACTGACTCAGCTGAAATGCTTCAGAGAAATGTATACCTTGATTCAGTCCACTGAGCCACTGTCTGTGCTCAGTGTCCATGTGTTCGGTTTCTGTGTTCAGTTATCAAATGGAAAACGTTTTCCTGCATGGAATTCGTAATGCAGCATGAGACGTATGGAGAAGGTCTGAATTTGTCTACTTCGAGCTTCTCCTAAGGTATTTTTTGAGAGATATTATTCATCAGAGCAGAGAATCTTTTGCAACACTAAAAGCTGAGAAAAGATCAAGTCATTGTAAAATCACACTATAATTGTTTTGTTATTTCCTGTGTTGAGCTGCTGGGTGCCCTTTTACTAGAGTCTGATTGGCACAGACTCTCAAGGTACTAACTTCCTTTTTTCATATCTGTTGTGTGCTGCACTGGACTGCCTGTTTGTACACTGATCTCCTTAACGTGGTGCAGAAAATCCAGACCAGAAATGCAGGGAAAGCTGGGATTCCTTTCATGTCTTGCTGCCTACCTGAGCTGTAAGTTTTTCCAGTTCTAAACTAATTGTTTGGGTTCAGACTAGTACTGTCTACTGATAACACAACCTCAGAATCACTGGCCCTTACCGGAGAACAGTTCAACTATATTTGGCTGCTTCAGTAATCTGCATTTGCTAAGAGTTCTTTGTTGTCGTGTGTTCTTGTTAAGGTGAAGAAATAAGTTTTGATTTACTCATTTACTCAGTGTTTGTTCTCACTGTCAGACCTATGAGTATACTGAGAGGAAGTTCAATACGTTATCCAATCTTTTTAAAAGGCAGAATCTCCCTACAGTCTGTTAAGTTTAGAATGAATTATTTTATATAATTAAGGACCTGGCTGTACAGAAGGCTAACAATGAAACTGTCCTAGGTGGTGCTCAATATAATTATTTACTCTTTGATGGTCTTTAAAATGATAGTCCTTCTATATTCCCCTCAAGATAATAACAGACATTTTTCTGATAGACATGTAAAATAATATTTTTATAAAACCATATACAGAAGGTCATCTATAAAAGCAGTTCTCCAAGGAAATGTAATGGAATTTGGAACAGAGCCGAAACCATAAGCTCATACTTCAATTTTCTCCCTCTTTGGGAGGGTTGTGGAGCTGCCTGGAAGCAGTTTGTTGCATCCAAGACCACACTTACTTAGTCAATCTGTTTATTTCATTAACTGGGAAAACAAATCAATACTTCCACCCAGGCCTGAAATTAAGCCTGTCTATTAAATCTTCAGCTTTACTAGAGTCAAAACGTGCATCAATTATGTCCATCTGGAGGCAGGGGCAGGAACCACAAGATTACTCTGTCTGACAGTCCTGGCTTAGAGTGTTCATCCAGTGAGATACAGGGTGCTTTAATGAAATGATAATGAAATTCCTTTAAGTAGCTTTCAGTAGTTGTAAATTCAATTAATAATGATTGCATTTTTAGACCTCAGAGGAACCCAAACAGTTTGCATATAGAAGGGATCCCGTTCATCCGCCACTGCAGTGCAGACCTGGCTGTTGCATGTCAGTCATTGTGCACCAGAAGCCCCAGTGCACAGCAGATCAGGAGAAGTGAGAAGCTTCACCAGCTGAATTCAGGGGGAACATTCTGGAGACCAGACTACACAGGGCGAGAGTGGAATGAAGCCTATTTGTTGATTTTGCTTAGAGTAGACATGTAACCTATGTGCTGCAATAACAGACACAGAGGAATAATAATAATATTATACTGATGCATGTTAATCAGTCCTATTCTTAATCCACTGGGAATTTCAAAAATCATAGAAATATTTGCGAGTTGCATTTCTTCTTAATCTCGGGAATGGATTTTTTACTAATGATAACTTGGTTCACGCCACAGAGTTTTTCAAATCGATTGTCTGACAAGACGTACAGTAATATTACAAATAAGCAGAAGTCTGTGGGTCAGGGAAAGTTTTAGGCTTCCCACACTTGAGAAAATCTGCCCTATATAGGTCAGCCAGGCATTACCAGTCTAGGAAGTGGCTTGATCTTAAAATCTGCTTTAAATCAGGGGGCTCTATTGGTCCCAGCTAGCACTCAGAGTGTGGGGGTTACAACACTGGGATGATCAAGGCAGGAGAGAAGTCTTGTGGATTGTGAGGTGATTTGTCCCCTTGTGTGAACTGTGCGGTTGTTCTGCTCTGCAGGTATCCAGACAACGAGAGAGCCGTTGGCCTCCTCTACCAGCCTGTCTGTTCGAGAAGGCCGAATGGCTGCTTTGGAATGCAGGCTGAAGGCAGAGGGAGAGCACAGGGTGAGCTGGTACAAGCAGATCCCAGGAGAGAAGCCACAGTTTGTTCTTACTTACCAGCCCTCTAACGGTACTCTCGTTTCTTATGGCTCTGGGTTCGGTCCTGTCCGCTTTGCCGCCAAGGGGAACAGCTCCTTCAACAGCCAGCTCGTCATACGCAATGCGTCGCTGGGCGACACCGCGCTGTACTTCTGCGGCCTGAGCCCCAAGGACAGCCACCACAGTGTGACCCCCAGGACCCCCAGAGTGTGAAGACTCGTGCAGCTTCAGCCAGGGCGGGTGGAGGGATCTCTAGCTTGGCTCTTGAGCTCTCTGAGTTGCCTCTCTAAGCTACAGGAAAATAGGAAATTGTGTTTCAGTGTGGAGTTGTACTGTAATAGAGAATAAATATGCATGTGCATTTCTGTTAAAAAGGGCCATTTACAAGCCATGCGCTGATTTCATGTCATTAAGGCACTCTTTAACACACTTAAAGTCAAACACTGAACCCAACTATCCATCCCAATATTGGACTTTAAAATACCTTTTAATTATGTAACTGAAATAAGAACTAAACAAATGTTAATAAGTAGGTGGATTGACTGTTTATCATATAAAGCTTAATCACAGGTTTAAACGTACAGTGCTTTGTTTATGTATGTTTTTGCTCCTATTTTAAAAAAAAAGTATTAGGAGAATGCAATTTGTTTCAGAATTTGAAGGCACGGGATCATAGGTATTACTGTATACTGCTTTTTGCATGATTTTTTAATTTAAAATTAAGCAATAAAAATGATTGAGGAAACCAGAGAATGCCGAATGATTGAAAAGCCTGGTATTTGATTACTGTTGCTGTTCTTTTGATGGCCCTTTGAGACTCTGCTCTGCCATCCTGGGGAATTCTCAGGCCTCAGCTGCTCTGTCATAGAGCCCCCAAGTGGCCCTCAGTCAGTCAGCGCGTCGTTATCAAAGCCAAGCACGATGTGGCTCTGAGGTTTTGGAGATGAACATCAGTCGTCTTCGGCTGCTCCACACTGGTCTCACGAGGGTACAGCTGGCATGAGCGTTGAGAAGTGCCAACTGCTCTTTCCTGTTGTTTCTTTCCTTTCTCTGCACAATACCAACTGAATAACCGAATTAACGGATTGCTGCCGCAGGAGGCCAAGATGTGAATTGGAAAGGTTACGCTCTGCTGATTCTTCAGCAGTACTGAAACAAATTGTCATGTAGCCTAATGCTTTTCAATCAAGAAGAATAGGACTTATGACCTGGTCGGGTTATTACAACCCACATTAATGCATGCTAAACAATTCCCTTTTTCCTCCTTTCCTTCTGTGCCATTTATCCCACATATTCTTTTTTCTTTATTATTGCCTAGTCGTGCTGTATTCCTTCAATTGACAATGAATTTTGTTTGGAGTTGTTGCTGGTTGGATTTTCTAAATTTGGATTGTAGTTGTGGTTTGATTTTTATACATTTTAATTGAAGTTATCTTTTGGCTGCGCTTTTCCTTAAAAGAGCAAGAGAAAAGCTATCCATGTCTGCTGCATGCTATTGTTTTCAGTTGGTTGTCTCATCCCTCTGACAGAACTAAAGTCGTTCTATCTCCAGCTGTCTCTAAGGATTTTTGGGTACAGCTTTGTGATGTAGCACATCCTGATAATGAGCAAAATTGTAACGTGTTGCTGAATTGCAAATAAAAGGCTCTGAAAGGCGTTTGATGGTGTGCAAGACTTTCACTGTATAGATATGCGCTGCTCAGTTATCCTTGCGAGGGTAACTTGTCACGACAAGTTAGACCCTGAAAGGCGCAGGGTGCAGATGACCGAGAGCACGTCTGCTCTGTGTGGCAGTGTGGGGGGGCCAGTTAGAATTGCTGCATCGCTGTGCTGGTTTCAATTCCAGACCTGGGCTGACGTTGTGACCTGTGTGGAGTTTGTATGTTCTCCATGAGTTCATGTGGGTTTCCTCCAGGTGCTCCTATTTCCTCCCACTCTCCAAAGACACACGGGTAGGTTAATTGGTTTCTGGGGTAATTGGCCCTGGTGTGAGTGTGTTTGTGTGTATCTGCAATGGCTGGTGTCCCTTTCACAGTGTACCCCACCTTGTGCCCATTGCTTGCCGGGATAGGCTCTGGCTCCCCCGCAACCCTGAATTGGTAGATGTGGTTAGAATATGCATTGGTAGATCGACTGTGCCTGGACAGGATGCCCAGCATGTTGTTGGGAGGTTGGTATAAGATTAGAAGACTATGAAAATCTGAACATCACACCTGAGCACCAGAATTGAACCTGAGACACAGGAGCTGCGAGGCAACAGCACCAGCTCCTACTCCACCATACCAGCTCAGAACAACAAACGGACTCCATGATCCAATGGCAGGGCAGAAATGGAATTTTTGAAAATGCCATCATCTAAATCAGTCTCTGGCTTTCAAACCATACTGAGCAAAAACAAACAAGAGTTAAAACCAGGGTTCCTAGTTCTGGGGATCCCCACATCCCCTGTTTCCATTCCAGCTGGGTTCTCAGTAACATACCTGCACCCTTAATTGCCCTTACAGTAGGATCAATTTGAAACCTTTAATTATTTTCTGCTGCAAATCATATTAGAAGTGTCCCTTTGACTTTGTTCCACTTAACATCATCAACATCATGAGACTATAGAGAATCCTTCTACTCACGCATTTTCTAACGATCATTTGTATCAGCAGCTGCAAAGAAACTTGAAGAAATTACATGTTTCCCCCCACCACAATTAAATGACTGCCCCAAAATTTTCTTGCACTCCCCTTAGAGATCATGTCACTCAAGCTATGTGGTAAGAGATGGTAATGTGGGAGGGCTGGATTGGATATGAAACTCGAATTTGCATATTCGTGCTCAATTGAGTCCAAGTATCAGACAAAGTATCAGACGTGAAAGATCTCTCTTTGCAGCCAACAGTAAAGAACAACAGTACAAGAATGAGGATGCTGATAGCGGCGAGCTGCTTTCTGGCCATCTGGATGAGGTGTAAGTCCTAAATCTCTTTTCTCTTTTGAAATATGTTTTTATTTTGATTCTCATCTGAACAACTGGAGAATAATAGGCAACTCTTCATTAAGAGTATCATCACTAAAGGTTTTGTAGACTAATTGTTAAACTAGAAGAACTAACTTCATCTGAAGTTCTTATTGGGTGACTTATCAGAACATGAATTAGGGGGTGCCAGTCCTTGTCCTGGGGTCCCCCCACAACTGCTGGTTTTTAATTCCAACTGTGCTCTTGACTTAATTGAGCTAACATGTCCCTTGATTGGAACTTTGTTTTCCTATTCAAATATGTAAATCTTGAGTTCCTGATGAAACACAACAGGCACGCTCCAGTTCGTGTGGGAATCAGAAATAGTTCAAAGGAAGAATAGTTATTACAGCTGGGGACCTCAACTACAGATTAAAGCACAGCTCCTAATTTCACCTCTCCTCAACCCAGTGTTTGCTGGAACTCCAGCTGCTTCCTCAACACCTTAATTGACATTTTAAAACTGTTTACTACCCATAAAAAGAGCAGCTTCTTCTCAGTTGTTTTATTTGCCAGTCCAATAACTTTGAACAATTTAATGTCTAAGTATCAATCGATTCATCAAACCTTCAGGGCTGAATTAAATGATAGAGAACTGAGTCTGAAGAAGGATCAGCAGACACTGAGGTCACAAAGACCTGAGTTGGGAATTGGGTCTCCATCCCTGGTCCCAGAGAGCCCCAGCAGGTTTTGTGAATAGCCTTAAAATCAATCATTCCTTAATCTGGGAACAGTTTAACTATCATCAGTTAAACAGATGTTGATCAATTATATAATTAAGAGATCAGAATTAAATCAGATTCTCCTCCAGTCCTTAATGGTAAATGTTCCCTCAAACATTTGTTTTAATTAATCAATTGCATAAACAAGTGTTCCTAATTTTTGAATAAAAGATGATTTTGGATGACCTATACAAATAAAATCCTGGAACAGGGTTAGAGTCCCATACCATACACTAAAATGAAAAAAGAAAAGTTAGGACAAAAGATTTGAAAAAGAAAAAGAAGTTTATCTACCATCCAAAATTAAAAAAAATATAGATATTTCAATTCATTTTGCTGTGCATCTTCAGTTACAAATGATTTATCTACTGAGGTTTTATTCACTTTATTGAATTCCAGTTTATAAATTAATTGTAGAGCTTGAAGAGATGGTGAACATTATTACAAAATTAAGCCAGGCAAGGGTGTAAAATTATGTGCAGAAATGTAAGCATACAGATCTTAACTCTCAAGTGAATTTTAATTTTTTGGAGAAAGATATGTTTTATTGTAAATAACTGTTGCATCCGACTTTGTCTAATGTACAAGTAAAAGCTAATTATATAGATTTATAATGTTACTAATTGTCCTATAATGTATCTTTTTCTTTTGCAGAAGGAACCTGGATATCAAAACAAATGTTGACTGTTGTGGAATGTCCATTTAGAGAACAGAAAAGTGGTCAAACAGGCTGATGACCAATGGAAATTCAAGGGCCATTCTGATCAGAAATGCATGTGCTTATCTAGCCCTGTTTGGTATGTATAGCCTGATGCAGAAGATCAAAAAGTAGCTGGATGTCAACTCAAGTAAGGAGAGAACTGTAGAAAAGATTGGAACAATGACTTTACACTATGACTGTAAAGTTACTGGAGTTACTGCAGTATATAGCGAAACTATCTTATTGCTCATGTGAACATGATTTTCTTTAAGGTTTGTGATTGGAGACAAGGTAGAGGGGTACATCATCTTCAGTGAAGGCATCCAGCTCATTGTGAGGGGTAAGATCATGAGGTCAAGCTTTCTAACGCTTTTGGCTTCCCTTTTAAATCTCAAAAAAGTTGAAAATTGTCCTCCTGGTGCTTACAAAGGCTACTTAACTCCTAGTGGAGCCTGTGTCCACTTGATGCGTCTAAGGAATAAGTTAAAACCTCCTACTTCTCACGAGAAAGAGATAAAATCTTATTGTTTAGGGAAGAGTTAATGCTATCTCTAGTTAGAAGGGCATCTGGGCTTCATGCTTTTGTGTTTGTATTGTACATGAAAGCTAAACATTACAGCGTCCCTTTTGAAAGAGGAAGATAGTTTCCACTTCCAACTGTCTCACTTTGTATTTGAACCTTACTGATGTCTTGCTCATGATATCATATAAAACGAATTGCCTTGACCCTCACAGACGCCTCTGAACAGATTATTTAATCTTTGGAAACACTGGGCTCATTCACTCTGTCTTTGCATGAAGAAGAACGAATCCGAAACAGCCTCATACAGAACTAAGATTTTGTGTCTCCAGTATCTTGCAATTACTGTTTTCTTCATTCAAAACAAATTCATCAGGTTTAAACCAGAGATCTGAGTAATATTTGGTGCCGCGGCCTTCACAGACGTTTCAAAAGTTCAATGGCAGTGGGAGATGTCGCTGATCTAGGACCTGAATTTCTCACGCTGTACCTGCAGGCCCTCAGACCTCTGCTGCCGACCCTTCGGTTACCGTGTTCCCGCCTCCCCAGGACCAGCTGCGCTCCTCTGGCAGGGCCACTCTGGTGTGCCTGATCCGAGGGCTGTCCACCAGCATGGCAGACGTCAGCTGGTACTCTAACGGGGAGCTGGTGACAAAGGGAGTCATCGTCAGCCCGGCTTCGAGAGACAGCGACGGGACCTTCAGCACCGTCAGCCTGCTCACCATCCCTGCACTCAGCTGGGAGCAGGGCCACACCTACTCCTGCACAGCCACGGATGGGGACAAGGTCGCGGAGAGCAGTGTCCAGGCATCTCGCTGCTGAGCTGTGGGGCTCTCACTCTGGATGTGCGACAGGAATCCTTCCCTTTACAAAGCTGCCAATTCGCACCAACTATACCAGAGGATCAGGGGACAGAGTACGGGATTGTGGAGAGAAGGAAGGTCAGATTTTCAAATACTTTGAAGGTGGGCACCGGAGAGAAACAGAAATTGATCTTATGGTAGCTATCACTCATCCAGCTATGTGAATCACCACCACTACATTTTTAAGGGGCTCGCAGGCCAGTAGCTGTCCAACGGTACACAGAATGAAAAGGAGATCAGGAAGGGAGCTGGGCAGGTTATCCTTGGCTACCAGTTGAAATGGTACTTGGGACAAAATAATCTTTTAAAAAAAAATCTTCTAGGGGATGAGGTCAACGTACAGTAGCTTTCAGAACACAGTTTTTGAGACAGGCTTAAAGCCAAGTGAGAAATTCTGACAATGCAGCATTATTCTCTGGTGAGCAAGACATTATCTTTAATGCTTTACTGTACTTTAGACTGTTCCAATGAGCCTGCTGTATACCTTGTAAGACAGGAGCATGCACAATAATTTGGAAATGTGGATGTGCCATCATGTGTTACAATAAAATTGCTTATTTCTAAGTGTTTGGAGAAGATTCTATACATTTAAGGTCAGCACTGATTATTAATACTAGAATCAGATCCACATATAGTCTAATCCATTCGACACTACACAAATCAAGTTCTTTTAGCCTGGCAGTTTAGGACATTCTATTTAAGACTGGGAGTGAATGTGACCTTTCTTCTCTGGATCGCCTGCAGAATAGCAATGCCTTTTTTTGACTGCTGTCTAGACTTCAGTTTTAATTTCTTTAATTTGTGGCTTTTTGCTAATTTTTGCTAAGCCTCCCATTTTGAGCCTTGACTAGTTTACTAACTATACCAGAATCAAAATCAAAATCACAGATATAAATTAGGACTACCAGTGGTCCCAATACATATCCTTGTTGCACTCCAGTTATTACATTAGAGCAGTTAACTCTTAGAAATATCTTTCAATCCTCTTTAAAAAGAATGGAGCACATTTAAGCAACTCATGTGACATACAGCAAAACAGCGAGCACCTTTACCTTAATGAATGGATCACGTGTCATTGCAAGACACAGACACCCACAAAACACTACACTTCAGCAAATTTCTTGACATATAACTTGTACAATAAAATTATAAAAGTACCCCACACGTTCCGTGAGTCAATTTTATTTTAGAAAACACAACAACAAAATAATCTAGTTCAGAGATAATGAATAAACATTATAAAAGGAAAAGGCATAAAATACATTCTTTGTACGAGCAAATGAGGATACATTTCGATTATATCTATGTCATGTTAATGATCTTTTAAGAAGGAATGGTACATAGCAAAATTAAGACTGTGTTTTTAACACATGGAATGACAAGCAAGGTTCTGTGATAAGTCACTTTAAAGAGAACAATAATGCAAAACAAGGCAACAGCTACAGAGGAAGTTGGCTCCTCTGACAGTGGAAAAAAGCGCATGCATACTGTTAAGTATGTAATTTGCACAGGTGCAGTAATAGCCTTTAATTGCTTGCCAGAAATAAATAAGGAGAAAAGGTCTATCAGAGCCAGCGTGTGAGAGACGTGTACTGATACTGCCTATGCAACAAAGCATTTTAAATTACAAAGCTTGCAAACATCAAAATAACTTTAAACTGAGTTCATTTTCACCTTCTCTGTTGTCCCTATATGCATGAAAGAAAACTTCTTTTTAACTTTAACCTTGTGGCTCAGCACAGGGACACAGTACAGGCAATGAGCTCGATTTAACATTGGAGACAAAACAACACCTCCTTAACCATCCTTCCTCAAACTGTGCAAACAGATTATCCCTCCACACCTGTGGAACTTCAGTCTTCTTCGGAAGTTACACCACAGCACTGTGTTTCTACACTGGAATTGCAGTGTGTGTGAGTATGTGTACAGACTGTGGAGTGGTCCAGTGATGTTCATTATTTTATGGCACCAATTTAACCAGTTCTGTGCCAATCTTTCCATACATCCTTGACTTCTATTGTATTCTACCACAGCATGCATCGATAAGAAAACTAGTTAACAGGACGAATTTCAAGCAACACTTCCTTAAGTACATTGCATTCTGTGTAACAAAAATAGATAACCCTATCCTAGTTGTAGCAAAGCTCAACTCTTAATCCCTTTCCAGTGCTGGGTGCACCAATAATCAATAATCCAAGGATGCCCAGATTGAAAAGCAAGAGGTGGGCAGGGACTTGAACCGTGAGGAAGTGATGAGCATTAGGAGTCTGGAATCATATTCAGTTTAGCATGGATTTCAACCTTTCAGATATGGCTGAAACTGGAAAAAGTGTTTGGATTTTGCTACATAACGCACTCTTTAGTTCTTGGAGAAACGTAAAAACAGTACACATTACAATGAGGAGTTAGAAAAAGGCATTCCATGTAAGCTACGTTATATGAACACAAAGTGTGGGCTGTATTACAGTAGTAAATGTGAATGGAAAGAACTATAGCCCTAAACCCAACTCCTGACCCAAATCTTGGTATAGCAGGAAACCAGGAACCAAGCAGGAAATGCCAACAGGAGTGAGTAATGCTTAATGTCTTTGCCTTCATCCTCTACCTCATTATCAGATGGAAACAGAATTAGGAAACTATACTATACGCATTAATCCAGTAATAAATTGCCAGCATCTGGTATTGTCTGGTACTAAAATAACATGTAAAACATAAAACACAATAAATGCTTGTAATTAAACCTGTATAACTTGACTTATACTGAAAGGCGGCTTGCAGAGATTCATTTGTAACCATGAAAAACACCTTAGAGGTTTACATGATTGGAAGACAACTCACAATCTACAAATAAGATGCTGCAGACCCCTGTATGATACAAAAGTACAGTACTACCGCTACAGGGCAGAGTAGATACTAAACTAATTCCACAACAGCCCTAAGCTTTCTGGCATTTATACTTTGTTAATCTGTACAAAAGAATACAAGTCTCCTAAAATGCATTAAAAGCTTATATGTAAAATAAATTCACAAGATGATACAATGAGGATTTACTGGAAATACAAAACGCCAAGGGTTCATAAAAACATGAACACTGCAAAATAAAAAAGCACCAGGTGGTTGTGTGGCCTGTTTTGCACAATTCCTGCTCCTAACAATCCAGGTTTCCTCAACAGGCACTTCACAGACAATTAAAAAAAAAATCCACAAGACAGTAATTTGAGAGCATGAAGAATTTCAGTAGCCAAGTTAAAGGCTTTAAACTAAAACGAGTCTGAGAAGCAGTCTCAGTCTGCAGTCGCCATCATTCCAAACCCCAGCAGCTCAAATTATCATGTGTGGGTTCCTCCCAGAGCCCCACTAGTCTTCATGATAGGCTACAGATCCTACTGTGTGGAAATGGTACATACTGTACTTCTCATAATAGTCAGCCCCCTCAACTTTCCCATTTGCTCCGATTCCATATTTAAACCTATCAAACCACACACCTGGAGGAGGATGATTAAATAAATGTGAAAGGGGAAAAACGGAATTTAGATTGCTGTCTGACATTTTTGCACAGATTGCTTTGCATTGTGCCACTGAATGAGCCTCCGAGCTACAACATAACAGGAGCCCTCTGCCCGGAGGTGGCCAGTCCCAGCCTTTGTGTTTAGAAACCATCACGGTTAATCAGGGCTTGAGTGTCGGATATTTTGGACCCTCCAGTTTGCTCCACTCCTGGTCTTTGGTACAACCAGCTCTTTAAATAAGGATCAACCAAATGGGTGAGCTGGTAGTGCCAAAATACTTTGACAGAACGGAACGGAACAGGAGGTCTGTGATGGTGATGAGACCATAACTCCCCCCCACGCTCCCCCAGAGTTTAAACCGCTGATGAAGTGAAGATACAAGGCGAAAAGCAGCCTGTGGGCAGCGGGGGAAGAGAGGGCCCTTGCTCAGCGCAGAACGGTGCCCTGGGCTTTCTCTGGAGCCATGGAGCGCACCAGGTCCTCCACCCAGCGCACCTCGGAGGCCACCTGCTCAGCCAGCACCTCGTAGCGGTTCTCCAGGCGCCCGAAGCGGCGCTTGAGGGCGTTGGCGGCCGTCAGGGCGGCCCGCGTCTCCTCCTGGCTCTGCCGCCGCCGGGCCTGGGCGCGCTGCAGCTCCTGGCGGATGTGGCCCAGGTCCTCCTCGATGCTCTCGTTCTCCTCCTTGTACCAGCTCTCCTTCTCCTCGTAGATGGACAGCAGGGCGGCCACGTCCTCGCGGCAGGAGCGCTGGTTGCGCGCCAGCTCCTTCAGCCCCTCCTCGGCGGCGGCGATCTCCTCCAGGACCTGGGAGAAGCGCTCGAAGTTGATGTAGGTGTTGTTGGGCGGCATGCTGGAGTGGGACTTGATGGTGTACTCCTTCAGCCTCGTGGTCTTCAGGCGCCGGCGCTCTGGCTTCCTGCTGTTGTCCTCCTGCCTCACGTTGCGCCGCTTGATCACCTGATTAAGACACGGTCGCTTTAATTAGTCTTATTACTCGTTAATCCCGCTACCAGCAATCCAGATGTCAAGTCATTTACTACAACCTCATCACCCTAACCCTAACCCCTCCGTGCAAGATCACGGCTGGCAGAGAACTGGAATCGTGTCTCGTGATCCTTCTTTTGCAAGCAGCAGATGGTCAGATCTGGAGCATACCATGAGGTTAAAACGACCGCCTTTCAGAAACCTCAGATCGGTTCCCGCTCATGAAGAGACAACGCAGCCCCATTCTCTCAGGAACGAAGGAGCTGGCCTGTCTAACTTGGTCTGGCCATCTTGGCCCTTTGGCTTGTTCAGCTAACAGAATCTGAGACGACTCGTAATGTCAACTCAACTGTCACTGAGCAGCCACAAACAACCAGACAAACTATTCAGTCAGGAGCACAGCAGTCCTGAGCCACACTTGGATCATGTTCTAAATTAACATCATAATCCATCAATCAATTAAGTTAACAAAAATGATATTACAAACATAGATAAATCCAACCCTAAAGGATAAAAAAAAGTTGAATTTCAGGTATGGGTGAGTGGAGAGAGTAAAGTTGGTTTTGTGCCTTTCAAAAGCACAAACAGCTGTGACAGGATACAGCCCCCATAATTTAATGATCTGCAAATTCCTTCAACAGGAGACAGGTTTCTGTCTCAGATCTTCTAGTCTCAGTGGAGAGGAACCTAATTAGCTCAGGACATGTGCCGAAAACGCACTGACGGGAAAGGTAGGAAGGAGCATCTCACCTTAATCCAAGGATGCTCCAGACTGTCTTCGATTGTCATTCTCTTCCTGAAATAGAGTGTGGAAAAAGTGAGACATTTCACGTTTTCTCTTCAGCCTATAAGTCAAAATATCAAAGATCAAAGGGTAGGAAAAAGCCTGTGTTCAAAGGCCTCGCCCAGTACTGTCATTCTCTGAATGCTCTTTTCCCAGGGATCCACCCTCAGATCTTAAACCGATTTCCCTTGCAGGGACAAACAGAAAAGAAGAGGAAGAAGGGAATTTAAAAATGAGAATTCTGAAGCACTTCCTTCACATAGGGTGGTCGAAACTCTATATTTCTTTGAGATGTAATGCAAGTTTAAATGGCTGGACGAAGCCCTCAGATCAGTTACCAGCTTGAATCTGAGGCACATACAGTACTTCAGAGCTCAGTGTCCTACTGTAACCCGGGTTCGTTAAGTGTTAGGAGGCGATGCCCCAACGAAGGAAAGAGCTATCCCTGACTGCGAAGCACTGCCACAACGAGCCCTACTTTGGATCCTTGACCAGGAGCCTGCGGATGAAGTCCTTGGCCAGCTCGCTGGTGTTGCTGAAGTACTCCTCGTCGAAGTCGTAGTTGACCGCGGAGATGTTGGTCAGCGTCTCCTGCTTGGTCTCTCCCAGAAACGGGGAGGCTCCGCTGAGCCTGGGGCGGAGATTAGCCAGGAAGACAAAGGCAGGGATTAATACACACCTTCAGCAAACTAGGTCTTTTAGAAAAACTAACTGGCATGAAATGGAGGAGGGCTGACTGAATGTTCAGAACTTGTCAAGAATATATTAAACGTTTGCCTGACTTGATACAGTGAAGTTGTCTCAACTTCACAAAGTGAAGAATATTGGAAATTACTAAGCATCTGCAGTTAATGCTGATGGCATTACAACCTCTTTAAAGCCATAGTTTTATCATGTTATTTTATGTGAAGCACAAAAAAACACATTTAAGGTGGAGCAAGCTGAGCTATGACCCGATACCTCCCTCTTCAGAGGTTTTTCCTAAGGCACGTTTTCACAAACTATATTGTTGCATTTGTGCCAATACAGTCAATATACTGTATCCTATAATCACACTACTGCTCTATGGAAAGTCCATATCCACTCCTAAGGGTTAAATGGATTGTTTTAGCTTTCAGTGTTATTTGCTTGCCTGTACTAGATTACACAGCACAATTAGAGACATTTTAAACAGGTTTAAGAACAGTGCTATAAGTAGTGATTAACATTAAATTGTTACTCACAGGATGTAGGTAATCACCCCAATACTCCTAAAAGGAAAAAAAAGATAAATCAAAATGATTTCATTCTCTTAGCACAATTTAAGAAGACTGCAACACTGCAAAAATCAGCATTTTGTGCTGATGGTTACTTCAAATAAAAAACATCAACATCATTAATTAATTTGAAAGATCATGTTAGGAAATGAAATGTTCTTTGAAAAAAGAACAAAAATAATTGAGAGTAAAAATAACAGATGTTTCTAAGTACCCTAAGAAAGTAATAGTAAAAGTAATAAAATAACAGTTAGAAATGACGGGGGTCAATTCAGCCATCTAGCCCATTTGATACTTAGTATGTAACTGGGCTAACAATCCCATCCAGCCATTTCTTGAAAGAAGCCAGGGTATCTTCAACCACATGGCTGGTGAGCTTCTGTGATTCTTCCACCACACTTGTCAAGAACTTCTTCCTGTTGTCAGTTTTAAATTCACTATGCCCCTTCTGCTCATTCCATTGATCTTTAAAATACAGCATATTAACTGATCTTTAAAGAATCCTTTTTTCTGTAAAACTTCAAAAAACGTACCACATGTCTGCCTCCAAACCAAGAGGTTCATAGTTCACTATTTCTGGAGCTGTGGAAAAAAAAGTAAAAAAGAACTGGAATCATTTTAAGTCCTTCCAGGTGGTTCTCACACAACGGTGATAGCTTTCAAGCCCAAAATCTTTAGCAGACAACACTAGGACATTTACAAAACATTAATGAACATCCACCTTGCATTACAAACTAACTGAACTGTCAACATTTGTTTAGGAATTTTCATAAAAATGAACAAATCTGCCCCATCCTCCTACAAGTTAAACAGGGCAGGCAATACATAAAAAACAGACAGAATTCTGATAATAAAATAAGATAAATGCTTGAAGAGGTAGTGTACATTGTAGGGACATACCTACAAACTCAGGTGTGCCAAAGATGTTCTTGAACTCATTCCCTGCCTTGATCTGATGTGCGATCCCAAAGTCAATCAGCTTGATCCTGGGATTGGGAACATTTTTGTCCAGCAGCATGATGTTCTCAGGCTGAAACGCAAATAAATGCATGCGTGAGGACAGCCCAGGCAAAACACTTACAGCCTCACAAGACAGCATAAGGGCAGACTGTGTTGTACTGTCTCCTAAGCAACAGAATTCCCTGCGCAGCTAGGAACTGGGCTAGGAACCACAAGGACACAGATCTGGAAGATAATAGGTAGGACATAGCCACATCTGAGATCCATTATCCTTTTTGGCCCAGGGCTAATCCTGATTTCCCCACCTCATACAGATGGGACACCAGTCCATCAAATATATACAGCTGGACTGGAGCAACTGGGGTGCAAGAGCAGAGTCTGCAACTGTCCAATTACAAGTCCAGAGACTTACCCACTACGCTATGTCACCCTGAAGGATAACGGAGGAACTATAAACTGAAACTAGCATGTCAGGTGACTTAATGTAGCAGGATGTTGAATGCATGAAGGCCTTGCTGTCGCAACAAATTGTGACACAGTGGTGACAATCATGTATATCACTCAAACCACGCTGTGCCTTGCAGTTCCTGTGCATACTAACAATTAGGTTTCTAAACTCATCACTTCAGCCTAAAGGAACATCTGGGATGGCAAAGACACAGGTCGTATTCTGGGTCATTCCTCCAGGCCCTGAGCTGTTTAATTCTGCTGCCAGAACTCCTGCTCTGCCGCCTCCAATCAGATCCCTGGACCTGGTGCGGGGTCGAGGGCTACCTTGAGGTCAAAGTGAGCGATCCGTTTGGAATGCAGGTAGTGGACGCCGTCCAGGATCTGCTTGAGGAACTGCGTGGCCTCCTCCTCAGTCAAGGACTCCTTCTCGGCCAGGAAGTCGAAGAGCTCGCCGCCGGAGACGAGCTCCAGGATGATGACGACGTCGGTCTTGTTCTCAAAGATGTCGTGCAGCGTGATGATGTTGGGGTGCTGGATCTCGCGCAGGATGTTGACCTCCCGCTCGATCTCCTCGCGGCTCACGCCCCGCCGGCTGGAGGACAGGCGCCGCTTCTTGATGAACTTGGCGGCGTACTCGGCGCCGGTGCGCTTCTCTCGGCACTTGCGCACGATGGCGAACTGCCCGCTGGGAGAGAGGGGCGCCCCACATGTTAGTCCCTCTCCCTGTCCCAGTTTCCCACAGCGAGCGGCACGCTTCTTCAAGATCTTACATTTCTAGACCCAGGAATACTAATCAAAATTGTATAAGACGTCTTACAGTAGTTATACATTTTTGATATAACTAATACTGTATAATTATTATACTAACAAATTAATTACACTGCAGTGTATTTATTACTATATAATAAAAATGGTTTTATACAGTTTTTTTAAAAAGTATAGGTTTCTATATTTACTAAACTATTAAATAATAGTAAAAACATTTTTGTATGAAATCAGTGAGGTAGGAAATGAAACAAGTCATCTCCAATAATTTGTACCGAGACTGTGAAAACTATTTTCTGTTGGCACAGTGGAGCAAAAGATCTGTCAAGCGTCCCTTGAAATAGGACTCAATGTCAGGTTTTAGTGACGTTTATTTTTCTATCATCGTATGATAGGATGTTTCCCTGGAACAATGTCTGTGATTTCGCAACAGACACCTAACTTTGTGCATGATGCACAGGGAGCACATGTTTTGGTACTACAAATTGCAAGGATTTTCACTTTCCTAGCACAGAATGAAGCCGGATACCAAACAGAAGTACTGACTGTTGTTTTGCATAATGTCCTGGAGTGCCTGCGTGTGAATTTCACACCGTAATCCCAGCTAACCCGAGGTATTCTTCTCAACTGCAGCCAACATTACAGCAGGCATGGAGACTAAACACATTGTCAAGCGCTGATGTCATACTTAGAACTCCATTTCCTTATAAAGGTAGCAGATCTAGCTTGTTTACTACAGCAATGAGTCATCTTACAGATATGGCTCTTTCACATTTAAAAGCCAGCCTTGAAGGCATCTGATTGTACAACAGTGATGATGCAGCCATTATGTCATCTTTGAGTCCTATGCCTTAACCCTCCCAACAAATTATAGCCCAAGATGTACAGATGTTGGTATTCTCAGTAAAACAGCAGATCCCAACCATATCCTCACTCTGACTGTTTCATAAACATGACATCACTGTCTCAGCTTGATTGTGAAAATTCAGACATGTAGTAATACATTTATTCCACCTCAATCACTTCTGCTTCTCATTACTCAAAGTAAGCTAAAATATTCCCTTACAGATAAAAAATATTATTTCTGCAAGGAGTTAAAAATGGGAATAATTTAATGCATCAAAGAAAAACGCCCTTGGATTTGTTCTGAGTGACCAGACTTTAAGGTTATTTCCCGAGAAAACAGTTTGGCATTTAAGAAGGAGGTCTCTCAAACTGGTACAGGAGCTACCACTATAGGTGAACAGCAGCACTGAGCTCTTTCTTTATCTTTTTGCATATGCTAGTGTAACAGGGCTCAGCGCACAGAGCAGGTCACACACTGTAACTGACGTCACCCACACTGAAATCGAGACGGTGTAGAACTCTCCCAGAGTGAAGTAAAGAATCATTGGTTGTAACAGAGTAAAGTGCTGTCTAGGAAGTGGTGCAATGCATGCTCGGAGACTGCAATGTCCAGAATTGAGTCTCAGCAGGGACAGGGTGAATTGCACTTGTCACCATGGTGCCGTGACCACTTAGAGGCAGAGAGTGTAACAGGGCTCAGTAAGCCTGGGTTACAGAAGAGACATCAAGCCCCTCTGAAATCTAGCCAGCGTGGAGCTCTGCCTTGCCCTCAGTAGAGGACAAGGTCATTGGGCTTGAGGAAGTTGTCCTCTGTCTTGGAAGCAGTACATGTGGGGATCCCATGGGAGACTGGGATTGAACGCCTGTAGGAGTAGGGAGAGCTGCACTTTTCAGAGCAGACCATACAATTGAACCAGAAGACACATATGAATATTACGTGGAAATGTCCTTAAAACTGAGAACAGGAGGTACTTCCTTACTCAAAGAGTGGGGGGAGTATGGAACACACTACCTGCTGGACCACTGAAAACAGTGCCCTGGCTTTCAAGACTTTCAAGAACCAGCTGGATGAGATCTATAGATCAATTATCTGCCAACTTCCAAACGAGCTGCACAGACTGATCGTCCTCATGTTCCCAACTGCTCTGATATTCTCACTAGATGGCCGAGCACTGTACAGAAGTAATCTGAGTGACGCAGCTAGCTCAAGGCTGCAACAGCAGCTAACTCAAAACCAGTTGCAGTGAGAAGTCCCGAGCCCACGCTCCACACTGCTCCCACTCCTGGGCTGGAACAATCTTGTCAAAACTCTCCAGCAGGTCTCTCACCTCCCCAGCTCCTCGCCCATGTCGTAGAAGACCTCCACATCCTCCTGCCTGAAGCCCGCCATGGTTAGCAGACAGGGTGAGCCTTCCTGCTGATGTCACAGTCCAGTTACCACTTCTGCTGATCCTTTAAACTCTGCGCCAGACAGGATAATAACACAGGTACATTACATCCATCCATCTTCCAACGGCTTGATCCAATTCTGGGACGTGGGGGAGCTGCAGCACCCTGGGCGGGATGCCAGTCCATCACGGGGCAGACACACACACACACACTCACACCAGGGCCAATTTTCTCAGAAGCCAGTTACCCTACAGGACCAGTATCTCTTTGTACTGTGGGAGGAAACCCATGGCAACACGAGGAGCACATACAAACTCCTCATAAGATAGCACCCCACATCCGGAATTGAATGGGAATTAAATCCCAGTGCTCTCTAAGAGCAGACTGTCTTTGTCTCTCCCAGCACAGGTTATGCAGGATTTCAAGCACTGGGATGATAGTCGCGCTTCAATAATATTCATTTTTTAATTGTTTTTCTTTACAAAAATCAGATTGCAAACATTAGTCTGCTGTGATATCGTGCAGGAGTTTGGGAATTAAAACCCTTCACCGGTTCTGCTCTAATAGGAACAATTAGCCCGATAAATTATGTTAGGGATTAATTGAGGTCTGTGGAAATTAATCAAAAAATAAAAAAGCACGTTTTAATATTAGAATAACAGAGGTTACGAACGAAGATGTAAGTACATGTTTTGCATTCTACAGCAGTCTGAGGGTTTATTCGGGATTACTAGAATAGTTCTGTTCATTCGTAGCTGGCTTCATCCTATATTTGTAAAAACGATAATACTTGAATGCTAAAAACTGTCATTTCAGCGTTTTGCTACATTTTCCTGCTCGTCTGTGCGCATGTGTGCCCTTCACTCGATTCCGCACGAGCAGAAACTCGGCCGGCGCTTCTCAAAAAGGCTTTAACATTTTTTTTCTGCATGCCTTTCCAACAGACGTCATGTCCTTTTCCAAACCCGGCTATGGAACTGCGGTCTTCTCCTGGGCATGAGAGAACTGGACTCCTCTTTGCCAGCTGGGGACCACTGGGCGACAGACTTGATAACCATATAAGAATCAACTTTAGTTTATAAAGCGCCTTTAAACTTACGTTCTCAAATCGTTTTAAAGGAAATAAAATCAGTTTTAACAGAATACAACAGTAACAAAGATAGGAGATAGCAACATTGCCTCCTATGTTGTCTACTGATCGATGTGCCGACCCAATCAGGGGGTGTTTAACTTGCTGTAGAGGCACTGACAAAAAAAAATGCATTTCGAAGTGGCATTTTTATGTTAATAGTTAAAACTAAACCCTTTATGGGTCCCTGAAATTGAACGGGCTGACGAAACATTTAAATACACCATTCGGGGAAAATACTTTAGATTGCATGGAGCTATACAATAAAAGCATGTCAGACATGATGTGGCCAATGTTTTTGGTATTCGAAGTTTTTCATATTCCGCATTCTTTGTATTCCAACATAGACCCGGAATACGTCATCTGCAAAAATAACTTGGATCGCTTGTCTTGTATTTCTTTGAAGTCCCCGAAGCGACTACACTTTCTAAAAACAAGCCTTTCATCCTCATAAAAGATAACAATTAAACACTGTGTTTGGGCTTTTCATGTGGTAGGTCACTTTAAAATGCCCGAAAGACAAATATACATAAAAAACTCACCTCTCTCTTTCACGATCTGGACATCGCTTTCCTGTATGCTCACCGCACCGAAATTCCAAAACCACTTTCAGGATGAGAATTTGGGATTGACGTCACTCTGCGTTAGCCCCGCCTCCTCCACGCAAAGACGAAAAGCTATTGGTGTCCGTATCAGGTTGGGCCCGGACAGCTCCCTTCTTAATTGGGTGAGTCTCCTGTCAATCTCAGAGAACGCGGAAACGAATTGTCATCGGATGCCTCTGAGGTGGGTGGCTATATTGCGCTCCGTCTGCAGGGATGGAAGGTGGCATCGGTTGGCTCATTGGTTGTAACTTTTGTCAGTCAACGCAAACTGCAGAATAAATTGAGGCATGTAACACTGCAGATTGTATTGGTTATGTTTTTAAATTGTGTTAATATATATCGATGATGAGTTCCTCACAAAGGCGCAATTTTGTTATTGTATTGTTATTAGTGCATTCCTATTGCCCTTAGCAAATCGCACTGTGAGTACAAGAGAATAAAAAACACCAAAAACGTACATCTAAAACAGCAACAAAATATTATAATGAAACCTTTTAAGTAATTTATCAGCAGCAGGTCTGTTTGAAAATACATTATTTTCTAGTCTTTACTATCTAAAAGTCACGGCGATTGTGTTCATTATTACCCTCTGTATTTTTTAAATAAGTTTTTATTTAAACACCAGAAATACAAAAAAAAGGAGAGAGAATATTGAAATAGATACAGAAATAGACAATTCACAGCCAGAGGAATTCACAAATGCAAAAACTAAAAATTATACTTTTGACATATTTCCACTGTACTGTATGTCTTGCCTTTTGATTCTTTACATTTCTAATAGCATTTAAATAAAAAAAAGAATTCAACTTTAAAAGCATGAATGAGGGAGCAATATTAGAGCAATTACATTTGTGGATTAAGTATTTAGCCAAAATAATGAATAGATTAATAATAAAAACATCATTATTACCCTCGGTACTTGCCAACACGTTGGTTGGTTGGTTATTACGCTGAGTGCAGCCGGAAAAGGAGGAGACTTTACTCAGTTGCCCCTCCCCTTCCTGGTCCGCTGTTGTCAATGGGGAGCGAGTCAAGATGGCGGCGCCCATGGAAGTAGTGGTTTGTGCCGACTCGTCTGGGCAGCTGTGGAACTGCGCGGTTTATGAGCTCCACTCCTGGACCAACCTGCTCACGTACCGAGGCGGCAACACTTCGCCTCGAACCCTAGCTGTTCTGAACGGGGAGTACATTCTGGGTGCCCAGCTCGGCAAGAACTACATCAGTGTTTGGGAAGTCCAGAGGAAGGTAATTAACGGTCTCATGGGTCGTGGGTTCTTTAAGAACTTTTTTAAAAGGAGAGCTTGATATCAACACAGGGTCCAAAAAAAGTGTCCAAGTCAGCACCGTGCAGTCCCGGGCAGGTGTTGATCGATACGTGCTCCTACCGAGTGGAGAGCACATTTTTCGGCAGCAGTGTTTGGGGCTCTGAACCCTTAACTAGAAGGTTGTGGGTTCAGATCTCGAGAGGGGAGGCAGCTTTTGTACACTTGACAACGTCCACTTTCCCAATAAACGTATTGTTTCGCTTTGGTCGAACGTCGGACCAGTGTGCAGCCTCCATGCTGGCTGACTGGCTCCTGTGCATGTACCATTGTTTCCCGAGGTTTACCTTTTTACTTCTCATTTGATGCTTAGGTACGATTTAGTTCTGAATTCTAGATTTTAGCTGAGGCGTAGTAAATTAGATTAGTCATTTCCAAAGCCACAATTTTAAATGCTTCAATACGTTATTACTAACATGTAATGACTGACACACCTCCTTCAGTCACAGAGAGTTGTGCTATAAGAAAAGGTGACCAATCCTTTAATGGACACAAATAAATTAGTCATATGTTCACTCATTAACTCTTTAGTGCCACCTGTGCTGTGGCTGATTGTGTAGTTCTTGTTTATATCCTTTCTAGGACCAGCTGCAGCAAAAGATTGTGTGCCCTGGGGTCGTGACATGCCTGACTGCGTCGCCCAATGGATTGTACCTGTTGGCAGGGATTGCTGAGGCCATCTACCTGTGGGAGGTAAGAATTACTTGCCTTGTAAGAGGTGTTGCCTACAGCTGCATAGCTTGGCTGTATTACTGTTGCAGAGAGCGTCTCCGTACTGCCAAGACCACCACAGAGTTCTGATGATGCTTGCACCTGATGCTGGAAGGGTTGCTGCATGATGTTGCACAGTTGTATCGGCCCGCATCTGTGCAGCTTCTGCACTGCACGGCTCAGCTTTGAAAGGGGGCTGCTCTAGTATTGAACTAAATGGTTGACAGATGTTAAGTGACCTGCTGATACCGTTGATATTGCTAATGTGTTTTAGGTCTATTAAAATGGAAAAGATGGTTCCTAAGTCTAGAATTTGCCTTTGCCTTTGGTCTGCATTTTTTTTTCAGATCAAATAAGTGCTGCCAAAAGTCACTGTTCACTATAGTTCACACTACAAATAAGGTACTTAAAAGATGAGTGCAAACCCTAAAAAGGTGGATCCTTGGTATTTGAGCCTTTGCTGAAGAAGTGCCTCAGTGTTCTTTAGCTGGGCACAGCTGGTTTGTACTCAACTGTGAGGCTGATGGAACGGGAAACTGATTGTGAAGCTATGATCAGTTAAGGACAGAAACAGCAGTGATAGAGTTATGTGGAGAAGTCAGAGAAAGAGCGGACCTGGTTAAGTCACTTAGTAGCTTTCTCTGGACAGGATTCATGAAAGTGAAAATAGCACTTGGCCAGATAGCAAAACCACTAACCTTCAGTCCCGCCTGTGAATCTGCAGGGGGTGAGTTGAAAATACTGCATGAGCAACAAGGTGAACTGTAACACAGAGCAGTAGTAGCTACAGTTACTGTATATCAGTAATGAAATATAGATGAGTATGCGCTGCTGAATTGTTGATGAATTGTTGAAAATGACGTGTTTATTGCCCAAAAGATCATTTGCGACTAATAATGATGGTGCATCCAATACTGTGCAGGTATTGGAAGCACCCTGGGTCTG